GAGTCTAAATCTTAAAATTCTAAACCCTACTGGTGTAAATGGTAACCGTATAATTTTTGCTGAATTGTAGAATTTGTTAAATTTTTGTTGAATTGCAGAATTTGCTGAATTTCTGATGAATTGCGGAATTTGCTGAATCTGCGAAATATGTCAAACTTAAATGGTAACTGTGCAATTTACGAAATTTGCTGAATCTGCGGAATTTGCGGAATTGTGTTACCATTTAGACTGTTAGTTAAGGTAGAATTATTGTATTGTGTTATCTAGAGACATGTAATTCTAATGTAGTAAAGTTATGAAAGGTGAGACTAAAGTGTTCCATGATGTAAGAAGCTGAATTCCCGTTGGTTGTGAATAGTATACCATTTTTTCATATATTTTCTTTTGTTTTAAACATTTATTCTGCTATTTTCTATCATAAAAAACCAGCAAATTTTCACGTTTTTGAAAAGTGATTCCGCTATATATTTTAGTGTGATAAAATATGATGATAAAAATGAAACATCATTAATTTACTAAAACTAACGTTTTATGTTAATTCTTTGAAAAAATTATTTAGATAAAGTGTTTTCGCTATTAGATCATTTGACTATTCCGATATTCAGGTATCATCTGAGATATGAATCAAACCCATTATTTGATAAAAGATAAAAGATAATACAAATTAAAACGTTCCAATTAAGAATAATTAGGGTTCTAAGCTTGTGGCAGCTTCTTAATGAACTCTAAAACAGCTTTAGCAGCGTTAGTAGCAGCCAAAGATCCAAACTTGTTAATAGCATTATCTCCTTTTTGAGCTCCAGCTAAATCTGATAGTCCCCTTATTACAATTATGGGACATCCATTTGACACGCATGTCTAATGAAAACAACAGAATTTTTTTTATCAATTACCTAAACTTAAAAATGAAGTGAAAGTAATGAAACTAAAGTGTATAAAAATGAATACCATAGCCACTGAAGAACTCTCCATATCTGAGGATGAAACTCCAAAAGTATTGTATAAGAATTTTCGGTAGGCCGCATTGTCCACAAATATGTTAGCAGTGGCTGCTTTTAATCCAACCACCAATTTAGGTTTCTTTGGAAGACACAAACTTGAATTGACACACTGTTTGAGCTCTATCCTCTGTAACCACAGAGAAGAACATGAGATTATTGTTAGAAATCCCAAATCTGACATGCGATTAAATCTAGAGTAATATATACAAAAAACATTGGTAAATTATGCCAATTAAATTTGAGTCGAATATCCACAGAATTTAACAAGGTAACCAAC